GGATGCTGGAGAGGAAGCGCCTCAGAGGAAGGAAAGACGGGCGCAGAAAAGGAGGAGGAGGAAGAGGAGGAGGAGGAGGTTTACTGCTGCTAGAACCAACCTGGCACACCTTGCCTCAGCCAGCCGCCAGAGAAAAGGATGGGCGGGCGCAGTGAGGAGGTGCCTCAACGCCCGCCCCCCGTTCAGTCTAGCGCTCTCTCCCAGAAGGCGTCCCGCTCGCACTGTAAGAGTGAGTGGCACGCCTCACCTAGGGAGAGCTTCAACGCAGGAGCGAGCGGCGGTTCTCTGCGACGTGTTTCAAAGGCGCACCCTCACACAGCAAGGCAAGTCTGCATCCCCGCTCGCTCGAGAACGCACCGCACCAGTCGCAAAGCGTGTGCTGGCCAGAGCGATGCAACTCGTGGCCTGGCGCCTCGCCGCACAAGGCCGACGGGGTCAAGCGCTCCCCCCCGCCCCGCTCCACGACGACTCGGCGGTGCACCGGAATCTTCCCCCTGCGTGGCCTGCGCCTCAGGGCCCCCCTTGGCCTTGGGGGCAGGGCAGATCTACAGCGCGCAGCGCCTCTCGAGGCGCCCCGAGGCCAGGCGAGAGGCATGGGCCCCCTCCCCTCCTGGTGTGCCTCCTGGTGTGCCCCGCGGCGGGCCTCCCCGTGGCATCCTGAAAGTCCCCCGCCCGAGCCGTCACCCCCGCCACAAGACTGAGCGCGGCCTGCACCTCCCCCTCCTCCTCCTCCTCCTCCTCCTCCTCCTCCTCCTCCTCCTCGTCCTCCTCCTCCTCCTCCTCCTCCTCCTCCTCCTCCTCCTCCTCTTGCCCCTCCGGTGAGGCCTGGCACCTGTTTTCATGGTGTCAGTGCCGAGCACCCTCGGGGCACACTGTACACGGCACTTATTTCGCAGGTTTGGCGGGGTGCATCCCGTCGTTGGGTGTAGCACGGCTCTAGTCTCAGCCTGGCCCTGCTGATGAAGGCGGGTAGCGGCGCCTGTGCGGTCATTTCATTGTGATCTGACCCTCAGGGATCGGCATTTCCTCGGGAGGCGGTGGCTTGTGCCACGTGAGTCCCAAGGGGCCTTGTGCCCACCCAGGGGTGGGGAGCTTGTGCTCCTCAGTATGCCGTGCCAGCTATTCCGACTGGGATGCCTTTGGCTCCCAACGCACCATGTCGGAACCGCTGGGCCGCGACTCTTCACAGGTGACGTGGTCACCCCCTATGCCCTTCCTGCGCAGCTGTTGCTGCTTTCCGGGCGGTGGTTCGTTGGCTGGGCGTGTGCAATACACGGCCGGCCTTCGAGAGACCGACCCTGGGCGCCGGACTCCTCCTCCTCCTCCTCCTCCTCCTCCTCCTCCTCCTCCTCCTTCTCTTCCTCCTCCTCCTCCTCCTCCTTTTCCTCCTCCTTTTCCTCCTCCTCCTCCTCCTCCTCCTCCTCCTCCTCCTCCTGCACCTCCCCCGATCGGGAGGTCTGGATGCCGCCACATCAGCTCCCGCATTGGCCTGGGCGTCAGCTAACTGGCTTCCATGGAAATCGAGAGGCGCCTCCTGAGAGCCACCTCGAGGCCCTCGGGAGCGGGCCCGAGCTTTCGCCGCAACAAAATCGCCGCCCCCAGGGAAATCGCCCTGAAGAAAAAAACCAAACGCGGGCCCAGCGATCGGCGTGGGGCCCCCTTGGGAGAGCAGCGCCACTTACGACCCCTCTTTAAACCGCGGGCGACCGTGCCATCATTGTCGATGCCGGCGCGGAGAGGCAGGGTGGCGCATTCCAAGGCCGTCATCAGCCCACATATCCCAGCACAAAGCACTGATGCCTGGCACCCGAGTCCTGGGAGGGGGGGCCGTGCACGGCCCGAGCCGCGGCCCCCTCCTGGTGCAGAAGAACATAACCCCGACCAGAACGCTTGAGCCCAGGAGGGCCCCTTGAGCAGGCCATCGGGGCAGGCGCGACCTCCGACGAGCGGCGGATTCTCAAAACTGGGTCTGGGCTCTTCCTGGGCAGGCGCGCCGTCTAGGAAAGGGGCCCTCCAACGGGTTCTCGACCAGACCACGAGAGAAGAGGAGGAACCCGTAGGAGGAAGACTCGGATCGATGCGCGGTTGCTTGGAGGTTCTCCGCTTCGGCTGTCTCAGCTCGAGCGGCTTCCTGATTCGGGCAGCGGCACATTCTGCAGCTTTCACATCCTACCTCGTATCCGCAAGCTTGACAGGACTTGTCGCCCCCCAGAACCAGCCCGCCAGACTTTGTCTTGGATCCAGAAATCGCGCCCACTGTACGCAAGAATAGCCGATCTCCTCTGCGTGGAACGCTTAGCCATGCGACTCAGCAACGCCCTGAGGGGCTCCAGAAAAAGCCGCGAGATCCCGAGATTCCTGAAGTCCGCCCAGGCCGAAACCTGCACAAACTCCAAGCGGGCAGAAGTCAGTTTTTTGATGCAGGCAGGGGCCTGCTCGGCGCAGGTCCCAAAGCCCCCCCAGGTGGTCCTGAACAGCTGAAAAGGCGGGCCAGCTCCACGACAGGCGGCGGAGGGTGGCAAGCACGGCCGAGGCGGGGCATCTGATGCTACGCCAGAGGCTGCGGCCTGGCTTTGTCTGCGCAGCCGCGGCCGAGGCCCTCTTCCACGCCGTCGCCGTCAAATCCTCGTGGCGGCCTTCCCGCGCGGCCGATGCCCACTTGACCAGGGGCTGGGTACATGCGCCCACCAGGGGGTCGCAGTTGAGGATCCAAAGGCGGAAAAGGGGCTCGATCCTTCCCGATCGAGTCCCTCCCGGGGGCACCGGCCATCAGGGCGCGGGCCTGGTCAATCCGAGAGGGGCCCGAGCCCAGACAAGCAGCGCCGCAGAGGACCGACGGCATGAAACCCATTGGAGCGACTTGAGATGGCCTGGCCCCCTGCTTGGCTAGACTGCGCAGCAGAATCTTCCGACGGCGGGCGTTGCTGAGCCCCTCGTCGAACCCGCGCCCGACGTGGACTGGGGCGCCCCCAGCAGAACCGACCCCATGCTGGGAGTTGTAACCTCCTGGACGTCCGGGGCCAGACTCTGGGCCCGCCCTCGAATTCGAACCTTGAGAGAAGCTCTAGGGGCCAGAGTGAAGCCTTTGCCCCGGGACCGCCTTGCCTGGTCCTGGACACTGGGATTCCCCTGGCTTCCATGGCGTCAGCGTAACATGTGTTCCCATCACAGAGCTGGATCGAGATCTCCTCCTCCTCCTCCGAGCTTCTGGCCTGGAGCCTGGGGCCATCTACATGCAACCTGCGGGGGAGGTAGGGCACGTGCGAGGCAGCGACCGTGTCACCGTGAGGATGGCTCATTGAAGACAGAGAGTCCAACCCCCGCAGTCCCCGCCACCGCCGCCGCGGGTCGAACCCCTCCCCTGAAGGTCACGAGACGCTCGCCAATGTAAATCGAAATCAGGGCTTTCAGCAGCCGTGGCAGAAAACCGTGCGCGGGCGCCTCGGCCCGCAGGAGATACATGCTACAATGCTCGAAAGCTAAGCGGGAATCAAAAACTCCCGTGCCCGACCTCTCGTCGGGAAGGGGCCCCTTCATCAACGAGCATATGCTGCCGCATCGCTTCTTCGGAGCCGCCCTCGTGGGTGGCGAAGTCGTGATCGCGTCGAATCGATCGCTCCCCATCGAAAAAGAAACTCGCGTGGGCTCGCCCCACCAGCCTAGCGCACGTGGTGAGCAGGCCGATGGGCCTCATGCGCCCCGACGGCTTGGAAATCAGGAGAGACGGCGCATGCCGCGGCCGGGCACGGCCAGCGCGGCGCGCGAGAAACTGGAGCCACAAAAATGGCCAGACACTCCAGGCCCCCGTCGCTCAGGAAACTCAGCCACCGACGGTGCCACTTGTCAACTCTCACTCCTGTGTGCTCAGGGAAGGCTCCACAAATCTTTCGGATGTCGTCGGGAGTGGAGCGGGAAAATGCGCGGGGGCATTCCGCCTGCCCCCGTGGCCTGGCAATTTCGCCGCGGCCGCAGGGCGATCCAGTCCTGGGCTGCAGCGTCGACGGCCACGTGGGGGTCGGACATGTCCAGGCTGCAGTGGCCCCCGGCGCCAACGGCGGGGTCCACGCTCTGCTTCCGCTTGGGCGTGGGATGGATGAAGCCTGCATCTCCCGCGGAGCCATCTCGCAGCCTCTCGCGCCGCGCCTTGACTCGCTGGTTCTTGGGGCCCCGCTCGATGGCGAAGCCTCGCCCAGCTGCCCGCCTCTGCAGGCCCGTGGCCCGAGGCGCGTCCTCCCGCGGGGCGCCCCCCGTCCAGCGCGGGGCTGCGACGGCCCTGGGCTCCCGATGGGCCGGCCCCGCATCATCTTGGCCCGAGGCCGCGCACCAGCGAGCTGCCCTATGAGTGAGGCGCCGGCGCAGCCTCCGCCGGCGGCTTGCCAAGTGCGCCCAGGCGCGCCGCGTCGGCGATGAGAGCGAAGCCCCCAGCTCTGGCCGCCGCCCAGCGCTAGGCGCGAGACGGGGCGGTGCCTCGGGGCCTGGCGCGGGCCTCGGGGCCCGCGAGGGGGGCTCGGGCCCGCCGCGGGAAGCCGCCGCGCCCGACGAAGACGTCCTCGCCGACCAGGTCGAATCTGCCCTGCAGGTCCGTCTCGGCCGCCGCGGCGAAGCCCTGCAGCTTGGCGTCCGAATGATGAGCTGCGTGGGCTGGGAGAGGGCTGCGCTGGCTCCACAGCGGGCGGGCGCTGGCCAGGTCGCGATCGATGTTGTCGACCTCGTGCCCTGTGTGACCGGGGCGAGGCCGTGATGGATGACGGCGCCGTTGTCTAGGTCCTCTGCATCTCGTCGCACGGCCTCCGCGCGCAAGGCCCGCTGCTGCTCCCGCTCGTCGGGGTCGAGGCTCTGGGGCCAGTCCCAGCGGTGGCGGCGCGCAGCCCGACGCTGGCGAAAGGCGCGCGGAAGGATCTCAGGGCCATGTCCGCCTGGGCTGTGACCAGGTCGCCGCGGCCGCCGTTCTCCGCCCTCTCGGCCGCCGGGGGCCGCGGCGCAGGGTGCGAGAGGCAGTT